GTCATTACTCTGACCGTGGTGGTCAACGGGGACAGGGTGGCTCGTAATATCCACCGCGAAACAGATCGTCGATTGATAAGAACGAGGCGAAGGAGAAAATTAGAAGAGAGACCCTCGTCGAAGAAGCGTCGAGGATTTCGAGGCGATAAACCAACCCCTCGGAAGCGCGTGACTCGGTAAATTCTCGTCGATACTCGAGACTTCATTATTTGGCCGTTCGAGAGCGTTTGATTCTTTGTTTATATCGAAACACTGCCACTTCTTATTACTGTCCTCGAGCATCATTCGCTTTACACGTTTCCGTTAATTATTCACTCGCGTTTAATACCGAGATCACATTTTCTGGACAAAGAACGAATTTCAGATTTGTTTTCGCTCCAAGGAAGTTACTGAGAAATTGACGCAACTGTATTACGAATTATTTAATGAGTATCAATAAATTAAGTGAAGAAATTAATCAATAAAATCTAATTATAAAGTTCAGCACTGATTAAAATACAGAAGATGTCTACTAGTATTTATGTAACATAAAATATTAATTGATAATGTCAGTTATTAAATCTATATTACTTTTACTGTGATGTAAAATAAGTCCTTTACCAGTGACGAGACAAACGATTACATAAATTGTCTTCTTTACTTAATGACGTTAGCCGAAAGGAAGATCCTAACTTCAATTTTATAGTAGGTAAGTCACGAACAATAATCGTTCTGTGATAATCCCGTACGGCCGATGCAATCTCCATCCATTCCCTTCACGAATTCTGAATTAGATCGCATCGAACCTCGCGATGGCCGAGGACGACAACGTAAAAACATGTATTCGTTGGAAAAAAAAAAAGACACGCGGCATAAAAGGAGCAAGAGGAGGAAGAATCGCGGTTTCAGTCGATGCGATACCGAGAAGCCGTGCGATTCCACGCGACGCAGATCCATCGCGAACGACGACGTCTCTGTGTCGTGTGCGAGCGTTGTCCATTATACGACATAAAATTCCTTCCATTCGGAAGATAAGATCACGCAGCCGAGTCGCGTGTCCTACCGTGAGATCTGATAACGACCTAACCTGCGCATCTCACCCTTTCTTCCTCGGCTCGCGGCTGCCTCTCTACCCTCTTTTTTTCACCCTTATTTCGCGCACAAACAGACGAACGGAGGCGGAGATGCAGGCGGATAGATAGAATGAAAGAGACAGAGAGAGAGAGAGAGAGAGGAAGGCGGAGAGACACGAACGCGACACACGTAGAGACGCATACAGGCGTCGCAACCCTGTCATCGACGACCCCAATCATCCCCCCCGGCAAACTTCATCGAACGAAGGCTGTCAATATCGTCGTCGGTATAAGCAGATCCGATGATGTACGCTCGACGTCAACGAGTCTCCGTAAGATATCGGACGCGCTTTCGATTCGACGTGCCGCGTGAGAAAATAGGGTGCGAAGAATCGCTTTGTGAAAGCTCGTCCCTATCTCTCTCTCCTTCTCGGTCGGTCTCCTTCCCATCCCTTGCTCGACGCTTTCCTCCACGACGCTCACCCCCCTCGGCCCGTTTCTGTGTCGCGTCTTCTCGCTGCGGGACTCATTTTCTCGTCGCACCGACTCGACTCGCCGAAGGAAACGTCCCCCCTTGCGACGCGTGTCCCGAGTTAGCTCAGGAATTATTACTTTAATGGACGTATAAATAATAGCTGTTAGTAGAAAAAGGAAATAGTCACCACGTTTACGGATTAAGAATAATTTAAGTGAATGTAATTCCTTCGTTTCATATCGATTCCTTGAAAGTTTCTATTCTTGTTTACCAAAATTCATCATCCCGACAGTTTCTTATCTAAATCTTACCGATAATTCACTGTATGCCGGGTGACTTCGTGAACGCCGGGGGTGGAACGATCGATCGATCACGTCAGCCCCCTTAAATTGGGTCGAACGTTTCTTCGTCCGATGGAAACCGGTCGAAGCTAACGGGAGATAATCGTAAAATCGTAAACCGTGTTGGGTATTCTCGTGACAAAAGTACAACGTCGGCCCAGGGTGGCGAAGGGTGGCGGATAGGTACACGTACCGTGGGCGTAGAATAATGTGGCGAGGCATTTCCGCATAGGAAGCCGTGCATTAGGCTATCAGATCGAACACGCTCGGCAACGACTGCCGTGCCGTGCCGTAGAACCTGGAGGAAAAAGAGTGTCCGGGGTAAACCCTTACGTGATTAGTCGTCAAAGGAGAGGGTCGCCGTGGGGTGAAAGTGTGGCTAATGAGCCGCGAGATTGGCACCTTCGTGTCGTCCTTTAATCGCCATTTTACGGGAAACTTGTACGAAACTAGTATGCAAGGATTATCAAGAGGAAAGTTGTCAATTTCTCCCTTTCACCGACCGTTAGGGTGGCCGCCGGGGTAGACGGGGTAATTATTTATGGACACGGCCTGGCTAGAAACATTGAGATAATAACCGACACCGTTCGAGAAGGGTGGATCTTTTTTTTTTTTCCCAGCAGTTGTCTCTCACCGCAATAGTTTATCCGCCGCGGATGGACCGCGTTAATTTTATCGCCGGATTAATTCAGTTCGATCCCTCGACGACCGGATTTAATATTTCATCACGTTTTACTATGACACAAAATCAAACGCCGCGAACGATATAATCGTCTTTACTGTTTAAGATTCTGATTTTTTTTTTCTTCGTTTCCCACGCGCGTTGCATGCGAGGCTCGCGTACGAACTCCCGGAGACAGAGGGTGGACAGGGGATTCGGTTTCTCCGATCGTCGTTGAAAGAGATCTCTGAGAGAACCCTTGTCGTGTTTCGCTGGTTCGCCGTCTGGTTCGTCATCGGGAGCAGTAGCTACACGAGACGCAGACCGGAGAAGGAAAGGAGAAGAATGGGGGGAGCTGGGAGGTGAGGGGAGGTCGAAGAAGAGAGACCGAAGACCCCTCCGGCCCCGACACGACAAAATGTACCGAAATATATTCAGCTGGTAATTAGCTTTGTGCTTAACGGCGGAAGCCGGCCTCCGATGCAATTTTTTTTTTTTTTTTTTTCACTGGACGTTTGAAACTTTTGCAAACACACTCCGCGGCTCTCTGGTTCTCTCTTATCAGCCACTCTAACCGATTCTCTTTCTCGCTGCCTTCGATGGAAATGTTTCGAGAGAACGAAACAGGGCCACGGGGGGATGGGATCGAGGAGCGCGGAGCAGCAGGGACAACTTCCTCGCGACGATGCAACTGATCCGTCCTACCCTTTGCTCATCTCTTGGTTTTTTTTTTTTCCCTCCCTGGCAAACGAACGCGACCGCGATCCTTTTCTGCGCCTTTCGTGTACAACAAATTCTGCTGGAAAGTCCGACGCGTCGTTTCGTAATTCGCGGTTCGAGATTAAATCGGAAATGATTCGGGGCCGTGATGCATGCGCGATTCGTTATTTTCGACGGAATTAAATTTCCCATAGACCTTTTTTTTTTTATTTTATTTTTTCCCCCCTTTTTGCGTTCACTTAACCGGCGGAATTTTAAGTGTAGGTACCCTCTCCTCATTTCCACGGGGCCAGCTTTTTTAATGGACCTTTTCCTGCGTTAATTAAATTTCGCGACCGGTCTCCCCCGCTCGCTCGAATGCCTCGAATATTCCGCGCGAGATCGATGATACGATGTGCCATGATGGACATATTGGAAGTCGATGATGATTATCTTGGCAATGTCAGTAACGGCGAACATTTTTATTGTTAATCTCAATGGAATTTAACGCGACCGGATGTACGGACGTGGAACCCTTGTAATACCCCGTCTGTCTTTACGCTTGTGCGTTCGCAATCCTACGCTCGTACTTGTTAATAAAAAAAATACCTGCCTAACGGTTCGGTGAAAAGACTTTTAATTAAGCAATTACCTCTTTTCATGGAAGTGTATTTATACCTCAGGGAAGCGAACTACTTTTTGGATTTCTACCTTTGTAACTCCGTAACAAACCGATTCTAGGTATTAAAAAGAGGCTCAAAGGAAAATGAAACAGTTAATCAGCCTCACATGGTTTCGTCGTCTATACTGAATAAACCGCAAAACGTTGAAGTGAGAGTCGCGAACGCGTCGAATGTGGCCGGACTTTGAAAACTTATGGTCTGCGAGGAGGATGAAGGTATCTTGATAAGAAAAAGTGGCGATAACGTAGACTAACGCGATGGCTGGGCACGCGCTCGATCTTCTCGAGGCCCGCCTTACGCTATATCTCGGATCTGTACTCAGCCTAATTATAATCAGGCTAATGCCTGTTGTGGCCGGCGCGATGCACGTCGCGCTGACTCCTACGCTACCTGACCGCGATCTAGCCGCTGTTACTTATTCCCGGCCGAAGAGCGGGTAATTAAGATTCGGACACACCCATCGTGACTCTCGTCTCTTGGGCTCTGACCGCTTCTACGCAGGGAGTGGTCGTCCCTTGAAAAGCTCGTTCTCGTTTGCATACACACGGAACCCATATACGTGTCACCAATAGAGAAACGTCTTCCACGATCGCGTCTCTTTTTTTCGGCAGCGACACGAGGATTCCGACCTCGTGGGAGTGGCGTGACACGACGTCAATCGGGAATGAATTTCTCGGCGAGTACCGAGATTTACGAGCTCAAAGGCGACGATATCTCATATCGACGATCGGGTGCCTTACACGAACGTTCTTCTCAATCGTGGAAATGTTATGCAAATTTGCACGTTTGTCCGATCGGACAGACGGTTTTCTCTCAGGTAAATAGAACATGCAATCGCACGCGGAAGATGTAGGATTGTTTCAATTTATAATTAATTTTTTCGAACTTATTATTCTTATATTATCATTATCATAAAATTGTGAATATTTGAAACTGATAAATTTCTTATTCGTATTCTACAGTTTTTTGGACTTGTGAATGATTCGTGATAACGCATCACCTCGGGTAACCTCGTTAAATTACTCGTACCTCGGAACAATCCTTCGACTTCCGCGGTTAACCATAAATTCTGAATGCAGTCGTACTCACCGGAAGTTGGAGAACCATTTGACCAGCTGCGCTGTGTTGTTCTTATTGAACTTGACGTCGGGGAAGTACATCTTGAGGATGGACGACGACGGGTACCTCACCCAGAAGAACATCAGCTTCGCCTTCTTCAGATGTACCGGTGTTAACATCGACGAGTTCACCGTGGTTAAGGAAATACTCATTTGCTAGATGAAAGTTATGTTAAGCGAATTTCTTAATTAACCATCGTCCCCTAAGATGCGCTTCATCTCTCTAATAAAAAAAAAAGGAAAGCGCTGGCTATCGCGTAAAACCGTAAATTCGGAGATAGACGGACTGTACGGAAATCTGTTTTTGTATACGCAAATATCTCAAACTTAATCGTGTTTCCTTCGTATCAAATTGGATTAGAAATCGTACAAGCTGTGGATATCGCGAGGGTAGTAGGGCTCGAACGTTCTCGCCGAGGTTGGCCCACGATTGGCCGTATCCTCAACGGAAGCCTTACCGACTCCTTATCGGTAATAGGATCTCTTCATGTGGTTTCATCGCATTCTTATTCGGTTAATCCCTATGTCCGATCTCGCCGCGATTCGACTGTGCCTTAAGGCACGTTCCTCGAGGAACGACACCCCATTCGAAACAAAACGAATCACCACTTTTCAATTTGCCTCAAGATAAATACGATTTAAAAGGAAATATGTAAGAGCAGGAGAGATTCCACTGGAATAATTCTGTGCCACTGGATGGTGTCGTTCCATCAACGGGATAATTTATGTCGAAAGGGAGAGTAGGCAAACGAGTGGGGAAAAATTCGCTTTTCCCGGATAACGGATCCAGCCTGGTTGAAAGCTATCTAATTCCGCGGGAGACACAGCAGAGGGAAAAAAGAGTGGAACGTTTACAATTTTCATGAACGCCTATCGTCATTGGGTGTTACTGTCAACACGGCGACTCTCAGCGCGCGCGGCACAAGCGAAGTCGTCGTTCACGAGCGAACGAGTCGACAAGTGTAGTCGTTCGCATCAAACGTACGTGGCGCGGTTATAACGCGCGTCGCATTTTGCGCTCGCGGTAGTAACGTCGATGGGCGATAACGAGATGCCAGACTGTAATAAGGGTTATTCCGGGCGTGCAGCTACCCCTGGATTATCAACCTGGTCTTTCCTCGTACCCTCTTAACGCGCGTGGCCCGCGCCTACTACGTGTCTCGCGCTTATTATGCCATTACCGTAATCGGCGCACCTCGAATCGCAACAGGGGAGGAACGAGAAAAAAGGAAACGACGTCTCGTTTACTCAAGCTTTGTAAAGATAATAAAGTTAGGCTGATTTTGGCGGAAACTTCGGTTCAGGAGACAGTGTTCAATAAATTGGACATTATCAATGAGAAGATTAAAGAACAGACTAAATATTATGGGTGTGATATTTGTTTATGATGTAAGTCTCATAATTTATCTGACGCTATATAAATTCCTTGGAAAACCGATCCCCAACGGTCTTTTTGGGAAACGATTGCCCAGCTTGCATAAACCAACTCGGTGAGACTGGCTGGTGAACACCCAGGGGCTGGGAAGGAAAGTCGAGCAGCGTGAAAAGCATATTTGGATACGTCGAAGGCCAGTAGGAACAGTGTGACAGACACAGACAAGGGTGAATCCGGAGGCGAGTGGTGAACAGCAGGTTGCGCCGCGGTCATGCGCTCGACCTACCCCAAGAGGAGGGAGTGAAAAAAAATGCGCCATTGATTTTACATCAAAGGCCGGCTAAAAAGGCGGCAAAGAACGCCGCGCTGCCGATCGAACGACCCGGACCAACACACGCCGATGCAGTTCCAGCAACGTTGCATTGTTGTCGACGCGTTTCCCGCCCCCGCGCCGACGCCGATTTTCTTTTACCGATTGTGACGGAATATTCTCACGCGTTTCTTATCCTTTCGTATGACAGATGATAATAATAATATACGACAATGGCAAATTGATGATTGGTCAATAACTGCGGCAGAACTTTGTGGTACCAATAACGAGAGAATTCGAATGGAAGACGGAAGGGCAGATTTGATTAGATAAAGAGAGAGAAGATGATACTGGGAAACCTAGCACGAGATAATAGGGAATCCGCGTGCGATACGGGTGCGATCCGGTATAAGGAATCTAGTTGGCGGGAAGTTGACCCTGTAGAAAGGGAGTATCGAGGTGAATTCTCCGGTGCAGTCGGAGAAGTAGTAGAAGTGGCTTATCTACGATAAGTCGAGGAGACGCTTGCGAGCGGAAGTTCGCGGACCGGCTGCTTCTCTCTCTCTTTCTCCCGATCCCCTCTCTTGTTTCCGCGGTTAAATTCCGAAATTGCGGGACAGATTATTGGCTTGCGAAGTTGGGTGAGACTCGAGGCCGAGGGCGGGCCGAGTAGGCAAAGAACTTTCGACCTCGCGCGTTGTTGCCGGACAAACTCTACTCGTAGGTGCAGCCAACATTAGCCTAACTCCGTGGCAAACTAATCTAACATTCGTCCGAGCTTCCCCCCACCAGGGCGCCGTCTACTCCTCACTCCTCCTGCCACGGCAGGCCACCGCCGACTTCCTTCGCCTTGTTGGTGGGACTCGCTTTTTCTCTCGTAAAATTTCCCGTTGTTTTCTGAAGTTTCCGAGCTAGCCCCCTGCAGCCCAGCTAGCTACCATCCCGTTCCCTCGCACAGTGGCAAAAGGGAAATGAAAAAACACATTCCTAAGCATCGTCATCAACTCCTTCGCCTTTCTACTACTTTTTAACGCTCGTTTTTCGACCGCCTCTTTATCTAGCTCTTTAAACCGCGGGCCCTCACCGGCGATTTAATATCGAAACTTCCGTCGTACTTTCTTTGGAGAACGTTCAGACTCTCTGTCCCTTTGCGATATTACCAGCGCTCACAAAGTCGACGGAGATTCTCCGCGTGCGTTGTTGTTTCTCCAACAAACAGAGATATACTACCGCTTTCGTGCGGAAACTTCGACGGTCCGTTAACTATTACACAAACGAGGGTGCCCCGTTCTGGACGTTCTCCAACTGGTCGGACGCGATAGAGACGACCCCCTGCTCCCTTTTTTTTTCTCTCCCGACGACGTTGTATTAGAAAAGGATATTATAGGCTGAAACCCGTCGTAGCTGATGTCGCCGGAGTTACAGTCGTTGGGCCGATCGTTGCTGTCCATCCTGAGATGTCCGTAGTCCGGACTGCCATGCTGGGCTGCCGCCAATAAGGCAGGATGCAATATAGACGGCGGGTGGGACAGTGGAGGGGAATCCCTGACTTCTACGCCCCCGCTCGGAGGACTCGCGGGCAGGTGATGCGGCCCAGGGGGTGGTACCTGGCCCGGGTGACTCGCGTGCGGGTTGAAGAACGGCGAGTACGGCGAGAACACTTGGCTCTCGTGCAGACTCGGGTTCGGTATCGCCACGCTGGTCGGCAGGGACACCGGCAGCATCGGTGGTGGCGCGTGGTACGTTCTCGGCGGCGGCGGGGGTGGTGGACTCTCGCTGCCTGCCTGCGGACCGCTGCCCTTCTGCGCCAGGATTCTCGACATCGTTCTCGGCGTAATCCTCGTATCCGTCACCTACGAGAATAAATACTGATTGATACTCCGAACTTATTGTCGTGCAATTCATGTTTCTTACAGCTCGTTCGGACGATGTGAATTTTTTATCGTACTGATTATTTAAAAAAATCGATAATAAGACATTTTTGCACAAAAAAAGACGCAATGTACTGAGTAGGTAAAAACGAAAGAATTAATAGAAACGTGTACGAATATAATTTTCGGTCATTATTGAATTTTCTAACCGTGCTGTTAATTCTAAAAATAGTCATCAAGAAAATAAGTCTCTAATCTTTCTCAGTACTGTACTTACTGCACGTGACACTACTTGACAAGCACTCGTTTAAGTAGAAATCAATTACTACACGTTTGTACAGTATATTATTACATTCTAAGGGTTCGTTCACTCCGACTAGAGATACCAGACGTATGTTCGTTCTCTACTACTTTATCGTGGCTTGAAAATTTTAGTTTGTCGACAACGTGGAAGAGATAATTACCTTATGACGTTTCTTTTTCGGTGTCATGACGAGTGAGAGAGCTTCGTTCTGTTCCGAATCCCTGCTCTCCCTTTCCTCGCCCCTTAGGTTACAGTATTGGTCGCGTTGCTGCTGTTCTCTTTGTTGATGCTCACGTTGCTGTTGGTGTTGTTGTTGCTGCTGTTGCTGTTGAGCCTGCATCGAGGCCATGCTGTATATCGAGGGAGGTTTCGGCGTCTGAAACATCGTACCCCTCCCCACGTGCGACAAGTTCATTTGGTTAAGGTTGTTTTCCGTGGGGCCAGAATGAGGGCCATGGGGACCACCACCCATTGATCCGAATTGTTGGAAACCCGTAGGCTGCGGAGGTGGGGGCCCGCCGTTGTGGGGCCCCCGTGGCCCGTTTGGGCCACCGGGTGGTTGCGGCGCTCCTCTGTCGACCACCTTCGTCCTCGGCGACTTTCTCTCGAGTATCTGACTCGCCAACATGAGGTCCTTGTTCAATTGCTCGGCCGCAACTTGCGCGGCCTCGCTCTGTTTACCGAGAAACCTCCTCTGCTGGACGAATCTCGTCACTACCTTGTCTATGAGATTCGTCAAGTACGACGTGATTTCCGCTTTGAGCGTGTCCGAGAGACTTTGCAGATCCTCGTCGGTGATATGGGGACCCGACGAGCTGGCCGCACTCGTCGCGCCTCTGAAAACGTTTATCCTCTCCTGGAATTCCTTGTGCTGCAGGGGCGTGCTCGCTGGCTGCATCTGCGGCGTCTGCGGCGTGGACGGCCCGGTATTGCTTTGACTTTGCTGCTGCGGCTGACTCGGAGGTGGCGGCGGAGAACTCGGTCGTTGATGTTGCTGCTGCTGCTGGTGCTGCTGCTGCCTGACGGCCGCCTCCTGGTGCTGCTTCATTCTCTCGAGGGCAGCTTGTTGCTGTTCGAGGTAGAGTTTGTGTCCCATGTGGTACATCGCGGCTGCCGCGGCGTGCGGGTGTTCGGTCGGGAGGGACGGTAGTCCGTTGTACGGTGGCGGATGAGGTCGCGGTGGTTTCAGCGGTGGCTGAGGACTCAGGGGCGCACCGATGCTCTCGCTCGCGTCCGAATCCATTCTACTCGTAAGCTCATTGTACTTCTGCTGCATCACGGCCAATTGTTCGTGCAGATTTTTCAACTGAATCTGAAGGTTATCCTTCTCGTTGAAGAGCCGTCTCTGCCTGATCGTCGACGGGTCCTCCTCTTCCTCGCTCTCCTCCTCGTCGTCCATCGTGGTGTCGTTGGCACCGTGCTGGAGAACGAGGTTCACCGTCTGCTGCTGCGGCTGGTACAATTTACGTTTCTTGCAACCGTTCACCGTGGCAGTTTGAAGCGCCGGACTGCTACGCATCGTGCTAACAATATTCTCGACGCGAGCACGCTTCGTTTCCGTGGTCGGTGAGTTCGCCTCGGTTTTGGGCACGATCGGGCAAGGGGAGTGACTCGGGCTACGAGTCCTGTTCAACGAGTCCTGTATCTCCTCCTTGACGGAGACCGACCCCGACTTCGGCTGCGTGGGACTAGGCGGCAAACTCTGTTCGCAGTCGGATCCGTCTAGATTGGCCCCGGGGTCCATACCAGCTTCGGCGAACGCCTCTTCCATAGCACGTGCGGCCGCGGCTGCGTCCTCGGCGCTATCCTCGGCATCGCCGGGCATCACGTTATCACGGTCACTGTGATTCGCGTTGTTCACGAGGTTATTCCCATCACCACTTTCTTCCCCACCACTTTGCACTGTTCCACTGCGTGCACTATCACTGTTCTGTTGCTGATGCTGCTGAGGACTCTGTCGGTGCTGCTGCTGAGACTTAAGTAAATCCGCTGTTGTATTGTTATTGTTACTATGTATGCTATTGTTGTTGTTCGGTTGCTCTTGGATGGAGAGCGCTGAGATTTTGCGCCCTTGAAGTATGTCGCGAAGCATGTGCTGGGTGAGTTCGGCGGTAGCGGGATCGTCGCAATTAACCACGGCACCGGATTGCAAATTAGCCGCGGGGTCCATGCCGGCACCCGTCATCCCGTGACCGCCCTCTGGCGGTGAGCCACCGGCGTCACTGGCCTGTTTGACCTGTCGTCCGAGTAGCTCGTTCAACATGTTGGCGGGCCCGTAACCCGGTGCCCCGAAGAAGCCGAAAGTCGCGTGGGCGGAATGCTGCTGAGCGCTGGGACCCGTTGTAGCTGTACCTAAATGACCTTGACTGCTCGCCGCTCCAGCTTGTTGCTGCTGAAGCTGTTGTTGTTGTTGTTGCTGTTGCGGCTGCTGACCTTGCTGCGACTGGTGAAGCGGTTGTTGCGACTGTTGCTGCGGTAGCGTTGGCCCGCTGCTACCGAAGATCGAACCGTAGAGTCCACCGCCGTGGAAGGATGGCCGGGAGGTGAAGTGCGGTATACTCGAGTAGTTGTTGCGCGGCTCGCCGGCGTCCACGCGCTGTCTGGTGCGCTTCTGCTTCTTCTGGAATCGCTGTTGCTTGCTTTCCGTACTTGCTCCGTAGGGGGCGAAATACTCGGTCTCCTCCCCCGATGACATCATCGACCGTCTGGTTGGTCGGCCCCCCGAAGGCCTCCGCGTCCCCTCCCCGCCAGGTTTCCTTGTCACCCCTCCCCTGCTCGCACGAATAGCCCCTCGTGGCTCACCGCGCTCCTTCTCTACTCTACCCTCGTCGTTTCCCCTATCGCGGCCGCTTTTTCTCCTTGTTCCGTCAACCTCGTCTTCCCCACTCCGATCGCTAACACTCTCCCCACTCCACTTTCTTCGTCTTCGGCGGCTCCTTCTCCTTCTCTTCCGTTTCCTCCTCCACTTCGCCTTCTCCTCCGCCGCCGTCGCCGACGACGACGACGTCGGCACCCTTCTCCTTCCCGACGAACTCCTGCTTCTTCCTCCTCTTCACCTTCTTCTCCTTTTGTCACGCCTTCCCTTCCTCTTCTTCTTCGGCCGCCGTTCCACGGATTTCCTCTGACTTCTTTTCACTATTCCTCGCCCCGGTGTTTCCGCCTCGGGGTGGACGCCAGCAGCTGGTGCTTCTCGGTAACTCGGTTTCGGCGGCTCGTCTTCGTCGTCTCGGGATGGCAGCTTCTCTTCTGGAAACGCGACACGTCCTCGGGATCGTTTCCAGTGCTCTCGTCCTTCCTTAAATTCCTTAGGCTGTCGTTCTTCGTGGTACCGGGTCCGCCGTTCTCGTTACACTTATTCGTCGTCGCAGTCGATACGATGTTACTCCCGTTGATGGTCACGAGAAACGTGGCCGGTGCTCTCGCGGGCGGAATCCTCGTGCTCCCGCCTGGGAGCTGCATCCTTCGAGTTCGCCAAAGGGCTAGGTGCCCCTTGTTCCCTCGTCTCGATTTACCCTCTTCGATCTCTTCTTATCCGTCTGCAACAGATAACAATCCACGTTACGCTTTTCTCAAAATTAATTCACCGATCGATACGTATGTGTAAGACTTCGGGAACTGCATTTATTTTAAACGCGTTCTCTATATAGATCCTCGGTCATGTCTCTAGATAGAACCGATGTACGGTACCAAGGTATGTGTGTGCAGCTGTCATTGACTCCTTCCTGTGACACGACTTTACACGATTCCACAGGAAATTCAATCAAACGATAAGCATGAAAATAATTAGTACCGCATTGAACGTAATATAAATTAGAAATTGTTGGTTAATAAGATTTTTATAGAAAATTAACTTCTCATGATCAGACATGTTGTGTTTATCAATTACGTGTTTAAGCATCCCAGTGAAATCAATCAGACTTAATCGTTAATTAATTCCTCGTTTTCGCTCATGTCTCGTGAAACGGCGTTAAGTTTCTTGCCTCGAATGAGGGTCATTCGAACTGTATCGGTTCATCGTCCGAACTCCAGGAAACGCACGCGGAAAGAATAACAATGGTTACCGGTTAAAAATATGTACCAGTAATCGATCACGATGTCGAGACAGAGAATAGACGGGTAACGCGAACAATATGCCCTAACTTAGCTCCAAGTCTTGACAAGGAGAACAAGAGTGAAAGTACCTAGAGTACCGGGATTTGTCGAAGACGAGGGGTCATAAGAAAATTGCCTACGTGTTTTCAATTTCTTATTCAGCAGCTGGTCAGCCGATCGATTGTCGAAGACGAGCAGAGAATTTAAAAATATAATTAATATTAGATCAGCGTTTACATTGTTTTAAATGCCACGCGATATTCAGAGCAAACGCTTCACCGTGTCATCAGTTATTATTGTGTAATGATTCGCTCGCTGCTCGAAGGTGAATGCCCCAATTTCTATTCAGCACGATTTCAACTGAACATAAAAAGTGTAATATATAAGTCAAGATTTATAATGAAATTTTCATACGTGGAAAATCATTTGCAATCTGAAGGGTTGAAGTAAATACCTCCGAGGTCTGTATTTCCACTCACAATCTTAACTTTTTCTATATTATAATCATAGAAAAATACGCTAGTGAGTAGAAATCAGGACATTTATCTTAATCCTGATTATCCCTCAGCCGAACTTTTGAGGAAAGCCTGCCGCGCGAAAAAGCGTTACGACGTCGTCGAAGGACTTCGTCGATAGATGATAATCAACGGCTGTTCAACGAATTCATTCACCGGCGACAGGCAGCCGAGGCGAGGGCTCGATCGTTTCACCATTCAATTGCCGATACGCATAAGTGCGTGGGTGGAACACGTGAGTCGGTTCTGCGTTTGCACACAGGCGCGCGCGCTCGCGGCTGATATGGCGAGGCCTCGGTCGGTGTGTGCCAATATCAGCGCGATGTATACACACGGTCCCGCGTGAATGTGCATGAGATTCGAAGCAACAGCTGAGCAGCTTAAAGCACCTGCGCTCAATAGGCCGACATATTCCATAGTTTGCCTACGCACGAGCCGCCTGCGTTCGAGGACACGAGCACTCGTCCCTATGTGCATCGCCGGAGAGCGGCTAGACGCATATATACGACGGCGGCGCGGCGCGCTGCTCGTGAAGCAACAAGAAGGCTCAAAGAGAGGAATAGGTACCCGGGGTAGATGGGTACGTATATAGCAACACGTGGCAAAAGCGGCGAATTGGCGGAAACGCGGAATCGTTGTACTTTTTTTCCATCGAACGGAACGCGCGACCGCGTGAGCACGGCGTGTATCAGTTTCAAGAAAGACGAGAAGCTAATAGTTTAGGAATCATCGATTATTCGCTGGCTCTCGATACGTCTAACTGAATAACGATTATCCAATGTTGCTGTTCATTTCATCGAATCGATGGGGAAGGACTCGACGTGTTGAATGAAAGTTTTAGTCGGTTCTATTTCCAGCCGGCTTGCTTCAACGAGTGTCAGTTTCTTCTTATTTGCTTATTTTAATATGTAATTACTCCGCAATTGATTCATTCAGTATCGCTTATTTATTATTCATGTTCAATAATTTCTCCTTTCACATACACGAAATCCATTAAATATTACGTTCATTAAGATTGTATGAGACGTAAGACCTCTGGCAAGAGTTTGAGAAATCTGATAAGAAGCTATGTCCAATATTGGTTTTAATATTGTCTATCTTAAATAATATAATCGAAGGTGATGTTATTTCAGTTTTAAAATATTCTTAAAACAGCTGTACCAGATTATGCAAATTTTCTCATTATTGCATTTATATTCTTTCATTTAATATAAGAACTCAAGATGGACTAACTTCGCAAGTTTTCTAATATTTCCTATAGTGTTCTATTAATTAATTATCTATAACTATTAAAATTTGAATATTTTGTTAGTCTTTTTATTTAAGGGCTCATACAACTTTAAGAACTGCTACGAGTTTTATAACGAGCGTCCAAGAGAAATTTTATTCGAGGCCTATTTAGTTATTATCTCCCGGGGGTTGTATTCGTTAGTTGAAAGGGTGACATATGGCCTCAAGCTCGATAACGTCTACGATCGTACCTGCCTCGAAGAACGGAACGCTTCGAGGGGGGTCAGCGAGATCTGTCCTTCCTACTTTTGATCGCCGCTTCCCTCCTGTGCCACCATGCGTGGGACGGTCGAACGGAATAAAAAGGTGGCCCTGGCCGGAAATGGTTTTAGGAACTCTCCCACCGCATCGCCTCGGCTCGGAAGTAGACACGCCCGGCTAATTACACGCGAGGAACGTGTTTGCGGCGATGCGTTCGAGAAACTTTCGTGACCTGGTTGTCTATATTATTGCCCGGTTGAACAGATGCGCGAAATTAAATACTTCTCGCTGGTCCGCATCGAGAAAGTGGGAACTCCAGATTAATTCTATTCAAAAATTTGTTCCTCGAAATATGAACATAAATCGTTCGAAACGCTTTATTCTATTAATTAATTCTATCAAAATGCTGTAAGAAAATAATTCTCTTACGCGTATTATACTTATTGTGATTTAATTTGTTTTCTCTTCACGTCTCTGTATTCCTGCCCAAAATGATTAAGCACGATGAACGAGTTCACAAAACGCGTCAGCCACGGAGTAACAAACGTGACTTTGTAATTACTATACCGTGTATTTCGATGGCCAATGACATTCGCATCGATCACCTTCGACCGGGGCGAAAACAGCCTGATGAACCACCAACAGCCATTTCCTGTGCGTCATGCGATATTTACCGTTTAAGCAGGTGACTTGATTTGAAGGGGTGATTACAGGTCATGCCGGTGTGGGGTTGCCCGATACGAGATTAGAAAATCGCCGGTTGGAAACGACGTTGTCCGTCTCGTTACGCGTTCAATATTCCACCAGGAATTTCAACGAAATTAACCCATTCGCTGCCAAGGACGAGTATACTCGTCTTTGGCAGGGTGTCACGCATTGCCAGGACGAGTATACTCGTCCTGCTTTAAATATATTATAACATGCAGGCTCTTTTGAAGGCCCATTGCCAACGACGAGTATACTCGTCTTTGGTTTTCTGCTTCTAAATGATTATGTATGATAATATATGTGCTCTTACCAAGAAATAACAGGGTTTTGGTAAACAATAGCACTCAAAATATAAATGGCAATAGGAATGACTTCATATAATTTAGGCTTGGCAGCGAATGGGTTAATAATAAACCCAGCGTCGATTGTGAACAGTCTTCAACGGACAAAGATCGGAGAAGAATGAAAAAGAACTCTGCGTTAAAAAATAACTGTCGATTATTCGCGCGAGTTAATATATTGAAGAATGGGATCGTAATCCAGTAAACTTTTCCCAAAGACTTTCATCGTTAAGGGGTTACTATCTAAGGTGGCTATTATTTTCGAGCACCGACGCAGATAACTTCCACCTATAGCGCAGGTAATTAAGGAGGAGACCGGGACACAAAAGAGCCCCGAGGCGAGGAAAGCGTTCGTTAATCTGTTATCGTCCTATCAACCGGTTCCTATCGGAAGATCGACCTTGCGTGAAACCTCAAAAGAGGAACCACGAATCGAAATTTTTTAATGAGTCCACTGCAGAAGATTCGAGCATCCCTGTTGCCACGTCGATTCTCTCCTTGAAAGGCCGATGCAGCTTCATCAGAAAGCGATACAATCGACATGAACAGAACTTACGAACGACGTTCCTTTTGTCTACAGGAATTATTAGCCGAGATAATGCGATCGAGACAATACTTCTTCTACTCGAAACGACTTCCTTCCGGTACGTGTAAGTAGGCGTGCTATACTTGGCGAGTATCAGATGGCGCGCGTACCCCACATGACGTTGTCGAGTTAACGGCATGTGCATCGGAATTCCACCCCCTGTAGGTGTCATGTGGTCGGAGTGTTCGCAGGGGGTTGCGCATGGGAACCCGGGTATGGTCACCAGCCCATGTCCATCGCCGCTGGCTGCGTCGACGTTCGAGGCACGCATCGCTATGCACCGTTCTCTCCCCTCGATATAGAAAATTATCGTGAACATTCGTTTCTTTATTAGGTACGCACGCCAGGCGCGGCGCGGTGGCCAACCCTTTGCCGGGACGCGTCCGCAGGTACTGTTTCGCAAGCACGTAAACGCGTCGGCTAGGCGTTTCGTGACTCCTAATCGTCGGTATATATTTACATGTGCGTATGCACGTGTAGAATGTGTACGTCGCTGGTAGCCAGACAGACAGGACAGACAAACAGACACGCGCAGAGATCACAGAATCAGAGGGTGTGTGTAAGATAGAGGGAGGGAGAGAGAGAGAGCCCGAGAGAGACCGAGAGAGAGTAATACTGTTCTATACTACACAATGATACGCGCACACAGAGGCAGAGGTACGGCGAGTTCGTGTGTGTACATACACACGGCTCACACGCGTTCTGCATATTATCGGGTTGCTCCGATGCAACAAGTTGACCGGGTGTCA